ATGCCACATACCACCTCTGCCCATCATCACCAAAGGCCACTCATCTGCTGCTGGAAGTGGTACAACACTCCCCTTTAGCCTAGTATCCCAACCAAACAACATCCCACTTCTACTCTCCAGCTAGCCAAACTTGCCCTATCCTGTCCCTGCAGCCCCAATGCTTTACAGCACCCAAAGTGAAGAACACCCCTGCCCCAAGTGCGTGGAGGACACAAATGCTGGTTTGGAAGTAATGCAAGGTCATAAGCCCTGCACTGCCCCAGGGATCAGAGGTCCCAGAAGTGCAAGGAAGTGAGTTGTGCCACACTAGGAGGGAAGGGGAAAGGCGCTGTCCTCTGCTCCTAGCTGGGAAAAATAAAGTTCTTGATTCTGCCAAGATCCAGGGCTGTGTGCAAGAAGCACTGTCTCAGCCCCAGGGGGTCTAGCCAGTCCTTGTGGTTGGGGGTGGCATCCCACGCAGACCTGGGAGCAGCTGAGCAGGCATGGCAGTGGAGCGTCGGAGGGGCCAGGAACACAGCAAGTCCAAAGGGGCCAGGCTGGTTGGGGGCTGCGACAGAAACAGTCCGGTTCGATCTCTCACAGGCGGTGGGTACTTTCCGAAGGGGAACTTGAGGAGGGCTCTTGTGCAGGATTATGTCAGGTGCCTTTACATAGGACAAAGCTGTCATCACACTGCCCCACAGGTAGAGTGCAGTTGCTGTGACACCTCCACGACGTAGCTCCTCAGCCGTCTCGTTCTCCCCTAAGCAACGAGCGCTGCTGGGTGAGGAGACATCAGGCAGTTTGGGCTGGGGCTGCTCAGGAACCAGGGCTGGCTGAGCACCCAGCTGGCAGCCACTCTCCACAGGGATTAGTGCAGGACAAATAGCAGTACTGCTGGTGCTCCTCATGCACACAGCCCGGTGTACAACGGCGATGGAGGTGAAGACAGCTGCAAAGCCAGTCAGGTACACCACACCCAGGAGGCAGGCCAGCTGCAGAGAAGCTGACAGTTAGCTCAGACCACTGGCACACTCCCTGTGGCTGACCACATCCCACACTCTCCCCAGCACATCAACCCAAGAGCCATGATGGCAAAGGGCTCCAGCAGCACAGAGCTGGAGGCCAGGGAGCAGGCAGCCACACTCCTAACATCAAGTAGCAAACAGTCCATGCAAAGCAGGGACTGAACGCCTTGGCTAAAACCTAACAGTTCCTGTTTAAATGCCCAGCCAGCACCCACCTCCCTCCATGCCACCAGCATGCCCTTGTGCCCATGCACCTATGGAACAGTGGTTCAACACAGCACACAGATTAGCTCAACGCTAGGCTGCAGTGTCTCAAGCAGGACAGCTGCAAATCTGCACAGTTCTGAGAGTTTCCCTTTCCAGCAGAGAATAAGTCTAGCAGAAGTTCACAGTGGAAAAGAAAGCCCTACTCTAAACTCATGGCACCTGCAAGCAGCTGCTCTCCCGTGCCCATACCTTTGCTACTTGCTGGTAGAACTGGCCCAGTGCTTGCTGCCACATGGACTGCTCCATGAGGACGCACAGATCCGTGTAGGTGAACCAGCCACGCCACGTGCCCTGCTTCTCTGCCACACTGCAGGAAAAACAAGAAGGGTGGCTGTGGCATGGACCTTCCTCACTTCTACAGAAGACCCCACTCAAGGCACCATGGCTGTGGAAGGGAGCTGCAGAGCCTAAGAAGGGCCCATGGCACCCAAGCTCTTATTTCAATGCAGCAGAGATAGCTCCAAGCAGTGGGAGAGACAAGGCTTAGGAGGAATGAAAAGCACCCCCCCTCCCCATACACACTTACCGTCCTTCCAGCCAGCTCAGCACTTCAAACAGCTCCCGGGGGTCTGTGTAGAGGCTCCAGTCCTGTAGGGACAGCAGTGACAAGTCAATGCAGTCTAGAATAAACCAGCACCTGTACACATCCTTCTCTATTCCCTCATGGGGGTACATGAAGGAGAAAGCAGAAATCCAGGCTTCACTTACAATGGCACTCAGGAAGTTCATCTCTAGCGTGTTCATGGTCTGGACATCCACTTTCCCTGCTGCTCCCCACTCGTCATTGAATACCTCTTCCTCCTCACCCTCGTCATACAGGTACTTGCTTGCAACCATCTAAAAATAGCATAAAGGACAGAATTTCAGCTCCCTCCAGACAAACTTCCAACTCAGTAACCCTCTAGCACACAATGCTCACCATGGAGATCAAGAAGAGGTCTGAAGATGAGATTTGCTGGAGGTATTCAGGGTTCCTGTGCCGGAGTCTCTCAATATAAACTAGCGCCAGCATCATGGAGCAGGGTGAGATACAAGCTTCCCTGTGAGAATGACACAAGAGCCATCCCAAAAGTTATGTGCATGTCATCATAGCACAACTTACTGCTCTCTCCCCTTGTAGTTAAGTGCAGGAGGCTCAGCAAACAGTTAAGCACTTGGTTGCAACACAATCCAGCCTTGCCTGCTCTTTCTCTGGGCACAGCCGGTTCTCCAAAGAGCACCTCTGCCTGTAGTCAGGCATGCAACAAAGGCTTCAGCCAGGGTTCAGACCTGGCTCACAATGAACATTGCTCAGCTGTTGATCCAAGCCAGTAGAGTCCCATTAACAAGAGTATCTCTGCATCCACAGAGCAGGACCAACCTGACATCATGCCTGCTTGGCCTTGCCGCTTGTCCCCAGTTCCTTTTTGACACTAACCAGTGACTAATCACAATGTCAGTGCCAGCCCGGGTGACAGAAGAGAGTCACAGGTGAGACCAGAGCTCTCAGTTTTGATGTGGGACATGAAGGACAGGTTTTGTTTCTTACCGAGACACATGAGACACGTATTTCTTCTGGAGTCTGCGGATAGGGCTGGGAGCCACTTTCTGCAGCAGCTCCACAGCAATATCTAAGACAGAAAAATAACAAAAAGGGTGAGTCCTATGTGGCACAGTTCATCCCCACCTTTCCACCTACAAGATCACTGAGTCTCAGCGTTTGCTCACAGCCCCTCATTTCATTCAAACTAGGACAGGCTTTTCAGACATCAGGGCTGAGGCATACAAACAAGCACGCAGAAGAGCACCAGACCAAAGCAGGAAGAGCATGCATGTATCCAACGCACAGCAGCAGTGCCAGATCCAGATTAGCACGCTGCATCATGGGGAGTTACATGAAGCCAGCTGCACAGAGGCTAACACCCTGCCTCACCCCACAGGACCCCAGACAGCCCATTCTGATTGTGCTTTATGAGGTTTTGGGGGCCTGATGTTGACACCAGGCATATCCCGTTCTGTGCTCCCTTCCAAACAATGCCCTGCTCCTCGAGAGCGGATCAGTACTGACCCAGCTTCCTCCCCACGTCAGCTCCAGTACACCCAGGATGATGATGGACAGCATGTTCATTTGAGTGTACAGGGATGAGCAGAGCATGGAAGTAACACTATGGTGTAACCACACACACACCCAGCTGCCGCTGGTCACCAAGTCCTAACTGCGTCAGAGCTCACTTCAGTCAGGAGAGCATAGTTTAGGTACATCTCATTTCCTGCCTGGCTTCGTAGGTACCAACTATCAAAACTGAAGCCCATAACAGCCAACAGGCTCCAACGGGAGCTCACTGCAAGCTCCCCATGAACAGCCAGGACAGACAGCTTCCTACAAAGATCACAGAGGATAGGTGAGCAGCCATTAATTTCACATAGCCTCTGCAGGACTTCAGACTGCTTCCCTCAAGACCATCAAAGCATAGAACACAGGCACACCTCCCCACCCACTCCATGCCTCCTGCAAATGACATGAGCATACAGCTAATAGAAACAACAACACAGCTGTGCTATGAAGGCACACTAACCAACTACTACTAGCCCTTGACAGCTCCCCTTCCTTCTATCTGCTCCCCCAAGCAGTGCTGAACCAATAGGAAAAAACACACAAAAAGAAAGCATTTATCTCCTCGATGTTCACAAGTAAGTTAAGTGAGCATGAGAACTTGTCCAAGACACCTTCTGTAAGGGGAAAGGACACAGCTCCCACTGCAATTTGCAAACGACCCAAAGGACTCCGCGCAGCAGTGAGGCGCCAAAAACAAAACAGCAGGCCAGACGGAGCAATAAAACACAGAGCAGAGATGCGAGGCCCTGGCAGCCCGCCCGCGGCACAGCACACAGACAGGAGGCCACGCAGGGAGGGATTTGGCGCCGGGGGAAGCAGCTGCCGTGCTGCTACCGGCCCTTGGGCCGCTTCCAGCCGCCCTGACTCAGCAGCGCCGGCTGGGCACGCCGGTCACTCACCCGCCACGGGGCTGGAGAGGTTATCCAGGGTGCACTCCTTGTCCCAGCCATAGTAGAGCCGCTTCCGCACCCGCTCGCTCAGCTGCTGGTGCCGGGGTAGGAACTGCGAGCAAGGGGAAGGAGTTTAGAAAAGCGCCGACGGTGACAATGCCGGGCCCGCAGGCGGCGGGGTGCGCCCCGGCCGGCTCACGGGCGCCAGGAGAGCGGCCGAGGGCGCTCCGAGGGCCGGGAGGGAATGGGAAACGCCCCGGGAGCGGCGGGGATCGGAGCCGGGGCGCCGCGGCGGGGCCTCACCGTGAACTCCTGGAAGCCGCCGAGGGAGAAGGCGCCCTCCTCGTCCAGCAGGAACCCGCGCAGGTCCATGCCGAGCGGCTGCCCCGAGAGCGCGGACGAGGGGCCGGCGAAGCGAGGGCCGGGAGGCCTCGGAGCACCGCGAGGCCGGGGCTCGGCAGGGGCCGCGAGAGGAAGAGCCGCGCCCCGCTCCGCCCGCCGCCTTCTTCCGCTTCCGGCACGGCGGCCGCGCCTGCGCACGGCGGGTCGCCGCCTCCGGGCTCACCGCGCACGCGCGGCCTCCCCGTCTCCGCCGAGGGCCGGGCCGCGCACGCGCACGGCGCCAGCGGCCGCCGGTCCCCGTCAGGCGGTGCCGCCCGGCCGGGCCCGCTGCAGCGCCGCTAACGCTACCGGCGCCGGCGGCGGCGACAGCGCCCCCTCCCGCCCCGCCCGCGCGCAGCCATGGCCGCGACCGCCCGCGCCGAGGAGGCGGCGGCGGCGGCGGCCGAGGAGGAGGAGGAGGAAGCGGCGGCCGCGGCGGCAGAGCGGTTGGCGTCGGCGCTGCGGCAGCGGCTGCGGGGCTGGGAGGCGGCGCTGGCGGCGGCGCAGCGGCTGCTGGTGTGGGAGAGGCCGCTGCACAGCCTGGTGACCGCCGCCGCGCTCGGCGGGGCGCTCTGGTGAGCGAGGGGGGCTTCGGCGGAGGGGGGGGGGCGGGGAGCGACGTTCGGAGCTGCCGTCCCGTGACGGGGGACGAAGGCCGGGCCGGTCGCGGGCCCACCGCTGAGGCGCGGCCCCCGGGAGCCGGTCGGCGCGCGGCACGGCGGGGCGCGGCCCTCCGTAGCGGAGGGGCAGCGGGGAGCGCGTTTCCCCGGCGCCGTTTCACGGCCTGGCCGCTCTGAGCCGCGGGGAAGCGCGGCCGGCGTTTCAGTTCTCCACCTGCGGGATGTCGGGGACTCGCGCTGGCGCACGGATCGCCGGCCCCGCTTTACAACCGGAGGAGGAGCTCGGGGCGGTGGCGGGCAGCTGTCCGCCCGCGGGCGCCGGCGCCATTTGACAGCGTGCCCGGGGCGGGCGCCCGCAGCGCGCCGCGTTGTCCAGTAGCGGTCGGATGCGTCTGCGCCGCCCTGTGCTCGGCCACCTCTGCTCACCGGAGCGGTAGCTCAGCGCCTCGGCCCCCAGCTAACGATTTCTCGTCTGCTTTGTAGGTTGTTTTCCTCCACTTCCCTGAGACCCCTCTTTCTCCTCAGCATGTCTCTCCTTGGCATCCTCTTGCTGGAGAGATGGAAGCCCAGGTTCTTGTTCGACTTCCCAGGTAAGTGGTGATGGGTGGTGCTGGACCTACTGGCACAGTTCCAGCGGCCACAGCTCTGGCTTTGCCGGAGGTTGTGTCAGCCCTGTTCCAACTGTAACTGCAGGCTTTGGCACTGCTGCCTTCTGCCTGCTTGTGTCCGGGTACCAGGAGGTACCCCGAGCAAGCCTTTGCAGCAAGCAGCATCCTGGAGGGCTAACACAGTTGCTCCTGGTGCTGAGGGATGCTGTGAGGAGTTCATGGGGAGAGTGACTAAGGGTGTCCAAGCCAGCTCAGCAGGGAAGCTTGGGAGAGGGATGATGCAGTGTTTATGCTGCATCATTTCTTTCTTTCAGGTCTTACCATGAAGAATCATTTCAGATCTGAGATGGCAGGAAGAAATGGGAGTTTGAATTGAATTGGTTTCAGTTATACCTAACATAGGCTTACACCCTAGAAGAGGCAGAGCAGATGAAATCCACCTCCCTGTGCAGCAAGTAGAGGGTGGGAAACTGTGGCTTCAGGGACAGTTCACAGAGTATGTCCAGAGCAGCAGCTGGGCTGCAGCTAATCAGCAAACTCCATCACTTGGCTGAGCTACCCATTTATTGAGGGGTCTTTGCCAACATCAGACAGAAAAGCAACAAGGAGAACAGTCTCATAACCATGACAGGATGGAAGGCTGCTGTCTGCTTTGAGCAGCTCCTTCACCAGAAGGTATTTTTAGATGACTGCACACAGACCTGCCTTCTGCATTCACTGCTGCAGTTCAAAGGGAGCTTGGGGCCTTCCTGCTCTAAGGAGGGTTTCTGAATGAAAGCCTTTCTATATTATGTGTTTGTAGGGTGCCCTTTATTTGACCTGTAAGGGTACTGGCTTAAAGGGTGTTTTCATGGAAGTCCTGATAAGATTAGATATGTTTCAGCTGTAGTCTCAAAACAGTTTGCTTTGGGTGGTTCAGGTAGCTAGGCAGCCAAACTGGACTGGCCAATTTAATTTCCTGCTTATTTGCATTGGGTTTTTTTTTTAGGGAATAGCTTAAAACCAACCCAAAACATCTCACTTGAAACATGTGCAGAAACACCAAGGCTTGGTGTCCAATGCAGAATGGTGTTATTGAGGCAGGTGGGGTGGGGGGGACAGGGAACGTGGAATCTCTTTAGAAAGTACCAGGCTTGTAAAAGTTGTGCTGTTGCAGAGGAAATGGGAAATCCAAACTGAAATCAATTTGAGTAATACAGAAGAGCAAGGCATGGGAAAAAAAACAAAACACTCACAGCCCAGGAGTTTAGATAACCCTGTGTCATTCATTCTGTACAAAGTCAGATCTCATCCCACTGAGCTCTTCCTCAGTGCTGTTCCTCCCTGCATTCCACTCCTCTAATGCTTCCCAGCTGCTGAAAACCAGAAACAGTGCCACCTCTCTGGTATTCCTGGTTAGGTCACAGCTCTGATTTTGACATAGTCCACTGAACCACATTTCCTCAGCCTCTACAAGGAAGAAGCAGTGCTCTGTGTTCTTTAGGGGCCTCCTGTTGACTTCACACTGCTAAATACTTAGGGATTCTTGCGTGGCTCTCGCTTCCTGCTGGAGCAGAGCTGTAGCTTTGTGGCTTTCCTCCTCAGTGCTGTAAGCCTTTCCTTTCTAGGAGCTTTTGGAAGTAGGTCACTACCACACCTTTACGAATCAGCAAGTATATACACAAACCTCAGCTTGTGGCAGTTCTCCCTGTCTGAGGTGACTGCTTATAGCATCATTTCCAAAGGAATGCTAAAGCCTCAGCATGTATTTTGCAGTTACTCACACACTGTGATCAGGGACGCGCTAATAGCACAGAGACGCACAACCTTTTTAGGTCTTGTAATGCTATAATGTGATGGAAAGAACATAAATAATAGCAGAGTAGCACAATCCGAGGCTGCCGCAAATGAGAACAAGCCCCAGCACAGCAGCAGCCATGGACACAGAGAAAGAAAAACTGCTTACCTCTACACATCCTCCAGTAGGCAGGGATCTCTAATGAGACCCCCTCACCTCCCCCTGCCAACCCTTAAATGAAGTCTGGGAAGGGGTGGATCCTGGCTCCACCCCTTCTGGTCACTCAGTGCATTGCATGCACCTGGGCTCCCTTGGTTGGCCCTGCCTTCCCACCAGGTGCTCAATCACTGGTTCAGGCCCTGTCAGAATGTACAGCATATTTTTATCATGAGTGCAGGTATTTTCTTTGTATGTAACTGCCACTGTGTGGATTCCATTTAAATGTTGTGTAAGGACTTGGGAAGCACCTCATTTTTTTCCTTAAATAGCTGTTGAGTAGCAATGTCTTTTAGTGGCATTGTTGTTTAGCAGTGTGTTTTGATCACAGTTTAGTGTAGAACTCCTCTAGCAACAGCTGCATTAGAGTCATAGAATTACGGAGTTGCTCAGGTTGGAAAAGACCTTCAAGATCATCAAGTCCAACCACAGCCTAACCATACTACCCTAACTCTAACAACCCACTGCTACATCATGTCCCTGAGCACCACATCCAAACGGATTTTAAACACATTCTGGGATGGTTACAGTTGAATGCTGGTATTCCTTAAAAAGGGCCCCTGCTTTCCAGCTGAAGTTTATACACAGATGAAGAATGCCTCTTGGGGAAGTGTTGAAAACCTGTAAGAGCCAAGGAATCCATCAGTGATAATTTGTCAGTACCAGCATGTAACCTAAACTCTTGTGTGGCTGCCTGCTCTCTCAGAAGAGTCTGCTGTATGTCAAGCATTTTGTATTAATCCGTCGTCGGGTGTGTAATGCTGGCAGCAAGATTTTAGCTGATTCTTGATGATGTGAGGCCAGCTGGGCATTCTTGCTGGCTTAATTGTACTCGGGTTAGGCAGTATTGCAGCACAGGTTAGAGTTAAGCCTTACCTAAGCCAGCATGTCCTGTCAGCAATGCTCTCTGGATTTAGTGTGGTTGCAGTGTTCCTCCAGCTGGTGTAAGGCTCCAGTGCATTGGGATGGACAGCAGGCAGACTGCACTACCACAGGAAGCAAGCTGCTGTTGGTTTAAAGACAGCCCTTGTTTTGCCAGAGAGCTTAAGTCACGTGGACACACTGCAGCCTGCTGAAGTGTTCTGCAGCTCCCAAAAGTCTCTGAAGCCTTCAGAAGCAGCTGAGGAGAGCTGTTTCACTCCCTCTGCTGGCGTGTTCTTGATGGATCGGACATAGATAGCTGATCTGAGAGGACAGGAGCTCCCGTGCCACCCTGCTCACTGTGTTGCTGATGCATCTGTCCAAAGAACGTGGCAATTGTCCCAGTGCCTCGTTTGGTAGCTGGTACAGCCAGCAATCACAGAGGGGCTGATGCCAAGTACATTTTTTTTGGTGCTTCATTGCAGATAAAAGATGATGCTTTGAGACACAGCTGGATTTCTGCAATCTGTGATTAAGCAGCTTTAGATGTCTGCACACAATAACAAAATACAACAGCAGCAGTTGTGAAAGAGAAGCAGCTGTCCCCCAGGGGTACAGCTGCGTCCATAACACTCCTTTCTCACACTGAGGCAGTCGGCCCGAGTTCCTGCTGCCCCAGCAGCCACACCAATCGGTTGTGGGCAGCCCAGGCTGAGAGCAGTTGACTCCTCTTGTCAGGCCCGATTACTGGAAATCTGGGTCATGCTCTCAAAGAACTGCCTCCTCCCCTCTGCAGATGGCCTCCCGCTCCACTGCACTGCTGTGGTGCCTGCGGTGGTAGGAGGAGTCTGACATACTTGGCCCAGCATTCCCTGCCTTGGGAGAACGGTGACGAGGCTGCTTTCCATGGGGAAGTCACTGCCACTCTTAGGCCTTGCACCTGGCTGATAACTCCGGAGAGGCTTCAAAACCCTTTTTGTTCATTTAAGTGCATTTCTAGCAAGTGACTTGACTCTGAACATAAACTCTGTTCTGTTATTTCAGTTCTGCTTTTGGGGATTGGTGTGCGAGACAGTGTCTCACCAATCTTCAGTATCTCACCTCTTGGACAGCCTGAACAAAGTTTGTTGTTGGCTAGAGCATTGACCTATGTGACCTCTGCCACTGAAGCACAGCTCCTGCCTTCAACACAGTGTTGGAGTTCCTGTTTGATTGTCATTGGGTTGGGTGCAGAGAGGAATGGCAGAAGCTGTACCTTGTTTTTATCCAGGCTTAGCAGTGTAGTTATATATGTGCCTTGCTGACACAAAGGGCTGACAGGAGGCATGAAGGAGTCCTAAAATTAGATAATTATGCATGAGACTGCTATTTAGTACTTAATTCCATGGGAAAGGGCAGAGACAACAGCGAGATCTCTGGCATTTGTACACAGCATCCTGCCAGGAGCTGTGGTCTGGTCTCAGGGAGGTGCAGCTTAAACCTGCTAGTGATATGTTGAGTTCCAAGGGAGCAGCTGAAGCTTTGCCCAGCTCAGGGACTGTGCTGGCAGTGACAAGGATGTCACTGGATGAGTGACAAGGGCTGGGCAGCTGTGATTGTCTTTGAGCTGCTTCCACAACCCGTGAGGATGGTACTGCCCAGGCACATGGGACTTCAGCCTTCACTGGAGCTTGCACAAACTCCAAGCCAGTGATTCCTGCTTGCTTGAGAGCACAGATAAGTCCCCAGGGTGCATCCTGAGCTGAAGATGATACGTTTCCAGATGTGCTCTATTTGAGTGGCAAAAATGTCAAGTTTTATTTTTCACTTGGCTGACTGTTCTCTGTTCTCTGTTCTACAGCTCAGCCATCGGAAGAGCCAGGAGGGGACAGGTAAGCTCAGTAACGTGCTCCTTGGTGCAAGAGGAGAGTGGGGATGCCTTCATTTAGTGTGCTGATTTCACCTGCCCTCTTTGTTGTTGTCAGTAGACTGCATGGCTCCTTCTGTGAAACCTTGGTAGCAGTTTCTTGTGCACTGACAGCTGTTTATCAGCTTGGGAGCCACAGTTTGAGACTGGGGAAAGTTAATGTTCTTGGAGCAGCAATAAAGCTCAGGTGCTTCTGATGTTAGGAACTCTCAGGTTTCTTCCCTGGACACGTCCTGAACTGTTTTAAGAATAAGAGACCAAGAAATCACTGAGACTGACTTTTGCAGGCCATATTTGCTGCCTGTGGCAGCGTGGCTGGCATTCCATGCTCAGCTGTGGTTATAGGTCTGAGCACTGCGCTCTGCTGACCTGGGACTTGTTGCCAGAGAGGGCCACCTAACTGGTTCCACCTCCAGCACTTCTGTCTGCGTGGCTTTGGGCAAACTGCTCTGCATCTTGGGCCTGTGGCATGGGAATGCTGTGACATGTGTTTGCTGCTGCTGCTTGGCTCAGCTGTCTCTTGGCTCTCTTCGTGCTTATAAGAAAAAAATGTCTACAAATCAAGTGTCTTCCGGAGCTCGGTTGCAGATGCAGTCAGAATTGTCAAGCCTTTGGTAGGGACCTACACGTCCCCGTGCAGCTGTACCCCGAAACCAAGCAGACTGTGTTCAAAGGTTGTCTTCTCACTCTTGTCTGTCTCTAGTGAGGGGGTGACTTCAGGGGCACAGCCTCACCTGCTCAGTGTCCCTGAGCTGTGCCACTGTCTGGCAGAGAGCTGGGTCACCTTCAGGCTGTACCTGCAGGAACTGCTACAGTACAAGAGGCAAAATCCTGCCAAGGTAAGCTGGAGATACCTACTCTTCCCTGCAGGGGCTTTTCTTTCCGTTGCTAATGGCCCTAGGAGATGGAGGAATGTCAAATCAATGTTTTTACAGTTGCTGTTCCTGCTTAACACTTGCTGTTCCTTCCTTTCAGACTCTGCCCCCGGAAGCTTAATTCATGAGTGATTGGCTTCTAGAGTTTGTAAACAGGACCTGAACTTACTGTCCTCTGTGAATAGCTAGCTGTACTTAGTTTTATTGCTTAGCGTGCAAAGGAAGCTCTTAGATTGGTAGTGGGAGTGAAAAAGGGAGCCTACAGGCTCTGCCCCATTCATAGGCTCTGTTCAACCCTTTAAGGTGATTCTATCTGTCTTGCAGTTTGTAGCTAGCTAAGTCTAAACACAGCAGTGTTCCTGAGTGTATGTCAAAAGCTACGTTCTAATGGCTGTGACATTGTTTAGGAAAGGTTTGTAGGCAGGAGTTACCTCAGCACCACAAAGATAGGGCAGACTGGCTGCTAGGGTCACATCAGGCTTGCTGGGTCCAGCATGCCAAAAGGAGTGGGTTTTTGTCACTGCTGATTACTCTTCTGTTAAAACATTGTCCCAGCAGTAGGCTGTAGGGGACTAGAACCACTGGAAACAAAACCCTTAGAAGACTCTAGCTTTTGTAGGGCCCCTGTGTTACAAACAAAGCTCTTCATTGCTGGATGTAGTCAGTTTCTTAACCCACACCCTGGTTTGCAGGGTGCTTGTTCTCACCTTCCCTCATCCCCAGGAGAATTCAGGACAAACCATCAGGGCTACACCGTTGTCCTTTCCCTTTCTCCAGAGGAGGAATCTCCTGGCCTAGTGGGAGTGTGGGTTCTACTGCTGTTGCTAGTCGGTTTATTGCAGAGCAGTGGCACATCATCTAGTGACTCAAACAGCTTTCAGTCTCTGTCAGGACAGTACTAGCTTTTCTTAAAATGCTGAACTTTTCAGAGAAGATGTACTCAAAAATGGCAGTGTGCAGTATCCCATCCTTAAGGAACATCATTTTGTTCAAAAAAAACATCCACTGAAGTTTTGATTCATTTTTGTGAACGGGGGTCTTCAGTTACCTTGGTCTTCCTGTGCTTGAACCTCTAATGCTTACAGCTCAGCCCAGCCAACCTGTCTGAGTTGTGACCATCAGCATCCCAATGTCCTCAGTGCAAAGCAAGAAAATAAACACTTATACTGCTTTTGGAGAAGGCAGGAGGGGAGGGCTTGTGTACTGAACTTTGTAGGAATATCCCTCTTTGTTCTAACTGGGTTGCCTGCACTGGTTGCATTAATGTATCTCTGCCTCTTGTCACTTCTGTTTGTTCCTCTCTTCCTTCAGTTCTGCATGAGTGTCTGTTCAGGCTGCCTGATTCTGGCTATAGTTGGACACTATGTTCCAGGCATAATGATCTCCTACATCATTTGTGAGTATAAGCAGCTCTCGTGACATACGCTGAAACACAACCTAGCTGTGCTGTTGATAGACTGGTAGAAGCATGTGTGGTTTTGGTGATTTTTCTTGTGTGTGTGTGGTGGTTTTTTGGTTTTTTTTTTTATTATTATTATTATTTTTATTATTATTATTTTTTTTCAGGGTTATCTGCTAGATAATAAATCAATACAAGCAGCATGCTCTGGGAATTCTTGCTTTAAGTGTGTGTATGCAGTGCAACTGCAAAGTCAGGAGAGGGAGCCATCACTAAAACATTGCTTTCCTCTTTTATCCTTGCGGCTGTGCTGGTGAAGTCTCAGAGAAGCAGAGAGCTGCAGTTTCTCAGTTCCTACAATCTATTTGAGAGAGTTATTAAAGAAAGCACATGTTTAGCAAATAAGGCTTTCTAACTACATCCTGAGTCTCTGCTGGCTCCAGAGGTAGTTCAGGTGCTTTGCTGCTGGCGTGTCTCTGTGCTGTTACCTTTCTAGAAGCTTCAGTTATTTTTGGTTTATATTCTATTATCTGAATGCCTCATTTTAGGGCCTTTGTTGCATGCTGGGGCTGGGACACAGTAGCTGAAACAGGGGGCTTCTGTTTCATTTTAACATAAACCTGTATCGAAACATGAATATGGACAGACATTGGTTAGGAAAACCTGACTAATTTTAGCAGCTTTGGAATGAGTCAGAATAACCAAGGGTTAGGACTTTAAGCTGTCAAATGGAAAGCACATTCAGTTCAGCTGCATTTCACTTGACACAGAGTGATGGTGCCTGTTCTTCCTCTTACACTCCTTTCACCCTGTGTTCATTGCAGTGCTCAGCATTCTTCTCTGGCCACTGGTGGTCTACCATGAGCTGATCCAGAGGATGTACACACGATTGGAGCCTGTTCTGATGAAACTGGACTACAGTATGAAGGCAGAGACATTGCACCACAAGCATGAGAAGAAGAGTAAGCATTTATCTTCTTCCTGACTCCAGGGTGAAGCACAAGGGAAGAGTATGCAAAAACAGTATGTTGCTGTGACAGAGCAGGGAGAAAGACTGAAACTTGAGGGTTTGGGAGAGAGAAACTGGGCTTCTCCTTGATATAGCAAACAAAGCAACAGGTTGTAGTTGTCTCTGAAAACTTGTACATTCTGGTAAACCTGTGTGGTTTTACAAGGTAGAAGTGTTGGATGAGTATTGCATAAAAGAATAAAGTTCATTCAGTCTCAAGTAAACCTTTTTTTTTTTTTTTTTTTTTTTTTTTTTTTTTTTTTTTTTTTTTTTACTCATAGAGCGACAAGTGAAGAGTGAGCCTGCAGCAGGTGATGAGCCAACAGCAGAGACGGAGAGTGAGAGTGAAGCAGAGCTGTCAGGCTTCTCCCCAGTGGTAAGAGCACAGCAAACCTATACAGGAGCCAGTCCTTCCTCTCTCTGGCATCTTGAGAACCACAGGTGGTATGAGTACAGCCACAGTGGTAAACAGTACACCAGCAAGTCACTGCAGAATCCCAGGGAGGAAGTGTACCTGTTTGATGAATATCTGCTTAAGAGTGCTTAATAACCAGTCTGGTTATTAAGAATTCAGAGTTGGTGAGGCAGGATGGGAAGAGTCAAGCCCCAATCACCAGCTGACCTGCAGAATTGCTTTGATGCTTATGCTATGTGCTCAGAGGACACAAAAGTCTCCTTAGCTTTGCTGGTACAACGTGCAGCAGGATCCCATTCTGCTCACAGCTAGGAAAGAAAGATGAGTAGTACTAGTGTTTCTTACCTTGACCTCCTGCCCTCAGTCAGACAGAGTGAGACTCTTCTGTGTATGCACCACAGCGATGGTGCAAGTGTTTGACTTTAAAGGAGCCCTGAGCATGGAGCTAGGCTCATGGGGTGAAGTGGGAAGCTTTACCTTCCAAAGCAATGCAGATACTTCCTATCAGTTACACGTAGAAGGCTTCTTAGTGCCTTGCGTGATAGCAAGAGGAAAGGGATGAATTGCTCCTTGATGTTCCCAAAAGAAGGATTAAAATCCTGTGAGACTCCTGCAGACTGATCTCACCTTGTACTGGCTCTTTCAGGTTCTTCACTGAGAGGAGGCAAAGTTGCAGCAGTCAGGAAAGCCAGTGAGTTGTGACTGTCCTTCACTGGCAGTGCAGTAAGCACTTTGACACATCCCTTCTGCTTTCATAATGTCCCTGCACACTCTCTCCAGAGAAGGACTTTTGCCTGGACACTGGTTTGTGTGGAGATGCTTCACTGGTAGTCAGACATACGGAAACTTGTTGCTCTGCTTTCATCCTATGCAGGTGGATGTGAAGAAAACTGCCCTGGCACTGTCAATCACAGATTCTGAGCTCTCTGATGAAGAGGCTTCCATCCTGGAGAGCGGGGGCTTTTCTGTCTCAAGGGCTACCACCCCACAGCTGACAGATGTTTCTGAAGGTACATAATGCGACACTTTGCTGCCTCCCTTACCTGGAGTGTAACTGCTCTACTAAATTACTGCTCTTCTAAATTACTGCCCAGAGTAACTGCTCTTCTTAAGTGGGACAACACAGAGAGAACTCAACTACTTGCAGGGAGAAGAATGTTAAAAGAAGGAAACAGTAGTGGCAACACAGTATGCTTTGGCTTTATGGGTGGTACAGAGTTGGTCAGGACTGGAGGTAGGCTTCTGATAACTGTCCCATAAGCCAGTGCTTCCTCATCATTCCAGAAAGGAAGGCCATACACAGAATCCCTGCAAAATGGCAGAGGATACAAGAGTAGAGAAGACCCATAAAAATAATGGCATAGTATGGTCATACACCACTGTATGATGCTGGTTGGAACAGGTCAGACAGCTCACCCTGCCAGACTCATGTAATGCAATAATGTGATGGGAAGTACAGCAGTAACACTGGGGTGGTACAATCCTAGGCTTTAAGAAATGAGAACAAGCCCCAGTGCACCATCCACAGACACACAGATAAAGAAAGCCTGCTTACCTCTAAAAGGCCTTAGGTAGGCAGAGATCTCCAGTTCTCACTTTCACTGCCCACCCTTAAATGAGGTCTGGGAAGAGGTAGATCCTGGCTCCACCCTTTCCAGTCACTCAATGCATTGCATGCACCTGAGCTGCCCTGGGTTGGCCCTGCCTTCCCACCAGGGGAATCACTGTTCCAAGCCGTGACTTAGCATTTCCACTACAACTGACAAGCTCGGTGTAAAGATAATTGCTCTGATGTGGTCGCTTGAGTGTCTGGGGAAGAACAGGCAGAGAGGGAGTGCTATGAGCAGTGAGAACAAAGGAAGGTCGGTTTTCTCAGAGCACAGAGTGCATAGAGCAGAATAGGAAAGGCAACGCTAGGTAAGTAGTGCCACTGTGAGAAGGGAGTAACTGCAAATGCCTGTGCTTCCAAAACTGGGAGAAGACCTAGAAGGGAGTAATGTTGTGTCAGCTGGGAGAAAGTGGATGGGAGATGTCAGCACTCTGGGCCGAGGCGAGGTAACCCGTGCCTTAATGTTGATGTTAATGCTGGTGCCTTCCAGACCTGGATCAGCAGAGCCTGCACAGTGAGCCAGAGGAGTCATTTTCCAAAGACCTGGCAGAGTTTCCCTCCGTGGAAGAATATCATTCCAGAGATCTGGGACCACAGAGTGATGAAGACGCATTTGGTGTGCCTCTGGGTCCTGAGCTTGCCCATGCTGCCCGTGAGCTGGACTCAGCAGAGAAGGAGGCTGCGGACTCTGACCTCTCCATCCTTCGTTTAGCGTCTCCTCTCCATTTTGTAAATACGCACTTCAACGGAAGTGGGCAGGTGGCAGGAGGCAGCATGGAGCCAGAGACTGTCCCTGCACCGGGCATGGGCATCTGTATCGACACGCTGAGCGAGGAGATTGTCACCACTGCCATTACCACAGCGGTGCAGAACACCCTCTCCGCCCTGCTGCGGTCCTCAGAGGCCAGCGAGGGACCCTCCCTCTCTGAGTTCCTCCCCACTGAGCCCGAAGAGAAACTGAGCTTCCAAGCACAGCTGTCAGGGACCGAAGTGGTGGAGGCAGAGGCAGCAGTTTCACCAGAGGACGAGGAGGAAGCCGATGACTTTGAGCTACTGGATCAGAGGGAGCTGGAGCAAATGGATGTAGAGCTGGGCCTTGGGGAGGAGCAGGAAGGGCAAGAGTTTCCTGCCACTCCGGCTCCAGCTTCCCCCTCTCCCGCACTTGCCGAGCTGCCAAAGCAAGGAGATGAGGAGGAGGCAGCGATGACAGCAGCATCTATGTCTTAGGTCTTCTTCGTGCACCCCTTCAATCTCCGTCGTCACTGGAAAGAAGGAAGAACTCACGTGGCGAACGCGCAGCGGGTTTTAGATGTCTGTGTTGACTGGGATGGAAACGCGTCAGTGTTAATGTGCTGTGTTTGGAATAACAAATCCTTTCCATCCTTCTAGAGCCCGGCCTCTGCTGGCTGAGCGGGAGACGGCCCTGCCCCGCCGCTGGGGAGGAGCCGGCTCCTGGAAGCCTTACGCCACAACGGAGCACCAACCCCTGCAAATGCTTCCTAGTAATGGTGCGGTATTTTGGTCTGTCTTCTGTTTGTCTTTCGTTTTGCACGCCGAGTACTGAGCTAGCTGTAGCTGCTGCTAATACCCAAATCCCCAGTAGGACATATGCAATCTTATTTTATTGGGTTTTTAAATTGCTAAAAGTGTAAATAATTTTAACTTTCATCGGTTTCGTCTGGGACGGGGTGGGGAGGGGAGCGCAGTCAGACACAGTTCGGGGGCAGGGGGTAGGCTGGGGCTTGTGGGTGGGAGGAGGGAGGGAGTAAGGGGACACGAGCAGATGGGTCCTGAGCAACAAACAAAGAACCCCTTTATGCAACCCTTCAGCGTCTTTCATGTGGCTGCTGGAACACGGTGTCGGGCGATACCTGTTTTTCCTTGTCTGATTGGAGTTGTGCTACTGAGTGGCTGTGGAGTTTTTGCAATCAATGAAGTTCACTCCTGGCCCTGTTCTGCGTGTCTTCCTGCCGCGGCCGTGCCGCACGTCCCTCGAATTGCAGGCTGCCAAGGGGCCGAGCAGCGCTCGGCTCTGCCCGTATTCCTTGGGAATGGCGGCGGGGCACCGGAAAACTTCGAAGCACCTCGAAGAGGGCTGGGAGCTCTGTTACACGGCGGCGGGCCAGCACTTCGGGTCCGCTCGACGGCTGGGGAGGGAGGCGGCGGTCCGTCCCTTACTGCTGGGACAGGGGAAGGAAGGTGACGGTGTGGGGGGATACATCTCTTACCACGTGGCCGCGGGACCAGCACGCAGCACGGCGCGGGCAGGACATCGCGTCCCCCCCGCCCGGCTCTCCGGGTTCGCAGCCGTGAACACTGGGGGGCTGCCTCTAAGTTTGGGCCGCGCGGAGCTCCGCCAGCTCGCCTTCAGCGGGCGGAGCGGTACGGATGGAGGATCCGGAGCGGGAGGAATGCGGGGGGCCCGGCGCGCTGCCGACGGGGAGGCGGAGGACGGGAGGTGGAGAAAGGAAGGCGGAGAAGAGGCGTCGTCGCTCCGGGCGCCGTCGGCTCCGCGGGGCCGCCCCGTGACCGCCGCGGGGGTGGTGCCGGCCGCGTCCCCGCCCCGCGTGACGCCGGGACGGAAACGGGCGCGGCGCGGGCGGCCGGGAGAGGGGCCGCCATGGAGTTCCCGGACCTGGGGGCTCACTGCTCGTGGGCCGCCTGCCAGCGCCTGGGTGAGGGCCGGGGGCCGCGGGGCTCGGCTGTAGCGCGGGGCGGAGCCCCGGCCGCGAGCGCCGGCCGGGGCGCGGCGGGGTGAGGGCCGTGCGGGAGGTGCGGGGCTGAGCGCCGACCCCGCGTCCCGCAGATTTCCTGCCCCTCAAGTGCGACGCCTGCGAGCGGATCTTCTGCACCGACCACATCGCGTACGCCCAGCACGAGTGCACCTCCGCCTACAAGAAGGTGAGCTGCCCCCCGAAGCCCCGCATCCCGAAGCCCCGCATCCCGAAGCCCGGCGCTCCCGCCGCTCTCCCGTCCCCGCAGGACGTGCAGGTGCCCGTGTGCCCGCTGTGCAACACGCCGGTGCCCGTGCGGCGGGGCGAGATGCCCGACGTGGTGGTGGGAGAGCACATCGACCGCGACTGCAGGTCCGACCCCGCGCAGCGCCAGCGCAAGGTGGGGACCTCGGGACCCGCGGCCGGGAGATCCGAGCTGTGGGGAGGGAGCTGGGGAAGGCTCTGCCGGGGGATGGCGCCGGGTGGTGCCCCGCGGGTCTGCGCTCAGTGCCACCGCCGCTCGTAGATCTTCACCAACAAGTGCTTGAAGCCCGGCTGCAAGCAGAAGGAGATGATGAAGGTGATCTGCGAGCAGTGCCACAAGAACTACTGCCTGAAGCATCGGCACCCGCTGGACCACGACTGCACTGGGGCTGGGAGGCCGCTCTCTAAAGCAGGGTGAGCATCGGAATGGACCTCCCACTGCCCCTGTCCCCATGCATGGAGTGCCACCCGCTCACCCCCAGCACACGCTCTCTTCCCCAGGCACGCTGCACTTGCCAGGGCCCAGGCGTCCCCCCCACAAACCTGCAACACATCAAGCAGCACCGCCCAGCACGCAGGCAGTCCCCCCTGCCCTCCCCCTGCCAGGTAGGTGCCAGCCCTGCTGCTCATACCTGATGGGCAACAGCTCTGGCATCACGCAGCTTCTCTCCTATTGTCTGCAGAGGTGTGGGAGCAGCCGTGCCCCCAGTCCGCAGCACCTCCCCGCCAGCTGCCATGCTGCAGAACGGGCTGGTGAGTGTGGGGGGGCAGGGGACCCTGTGCCCTGGGGGCTGTCAGCACCAGAGGGGCTGAGCTGAGGATGGAGGAGGAGGACGAGGAAGAGGGCTGCCTCTTGCTGCCTTAGCTCCCAGCCTGAGCAGGGGCAGCCATGGCTGCTGACAAAGGGCTTTGTTGCAGAGTGAGGAGGAAGCGCTGCAGCGGGCACTGGAGATGTCTCTGGCAGAGTCGGCACGTGGCTCAGCACAGCCACCCAGGTACAGCTGGGGCACATGGCACCACCCCCATGCACACCTGGCTTGCACAGCCTGGGGTGATGCTGCCCACAGCATGGGGCTGCACATGGTGGCCCTGCTCTGCAAGGTGCTGGGAAAAAGGGAAGAGCTCAGAGCCTTGGCTGAGCCCATTGCTGGGTGGGGACAGTGCCAGGCAGCGCAGGGAGGACATGTTGCTTCCTGATTGCTTGGCACTGATGGGCACAGCCAGAGCTGCAGGTGGCAGCCAGCAGCTCATGGGCATGCTGCTCGGTGCAGCTAAATGGAGTGCAGGCATGCAGGCAGGCCTCTGCTCTCTGCTGCCTTGGGGAGGTAGGGGGGTGGGCACATGGGGTGCCACAGGCACACAGTGCGTTGCTGTTCCTGCAGCACGCAGGAGGAGGAGGACCTGGCACTGGCGCAGGCGCTGTCAGCAAGCGAGGCTGAGTACCAGCAGCTGCAGCGGCAGGTGAGCAGGCTGAGCCTGGCTGGGCCCGCCCCCATTTCTGCTTCCTAGGGACCATGCAGGGCCAAGGAAGATGTCACCTTACCTTGCTTACTGCATGCTCTCTGCCCTGCCAGGGACACAGCTCAAAGCCATCCAACTGCAGCATGTCTTAGGCACGTGGGGGCTGTGCCAGTAGACATGGCATCCTGCTCGTGGCACAAGGAGCAGCCGTGGCACCGCATGTGGACACTGTGGGGTCCTGGCCTGAGTGCCACCAAGAGCCACCTGATCTCCCCAGGGCTTCAAGCAAGCCACAGAGCGCACGCCAACATCTCATCCTGCATGCAGGTGGTGCAGCATACTCCTGGAAAGGTGGGAGCTGCAGGGTGGCCCGAGCACACGCTGAGCACAGCAGCTGCACGTTGGGTCATCTCCTCAGGAGGAGCCCAAAGGGGCATCTGCAGGCGGTGCCCACCAGGGGATGGTGGTGCGCTCGGGTTGGGGTGAGGGAGTGCTGATGTGTCAAAGTGCTGCTTGGGAGAAAATAAAGGCATGGCCAAGGTACGTGGTGGCTTTGAGGAATGGTGAATCAGAGCTGTGCCCCTCTGCTGGTGTCCCAGAGGCCCACATCTCCCTCCCCAGGACCATCCCACAGGCGCACCCCCTGCCAAGAGCACACAGCACAGAGCTGGGAAGGACCTGGTTTAAGAAACTACACCACAGCAGGACAAGCAGGTACAAACGGAGTGTCCAGGCCGGGCCCTGCAGCTCCCAGCACACACAGGTAGCTGCAGCCAGAAGCGGGGTCTGAGCATCATGGGTGCCCACCCCTTGGTCAGTGCCATATCGGAGTCCCCGGCTGCACTCATGGCCCCTTCTTGCTGCTGGGGGGCTTCTCAGTGTGATGCTCCTTGCTCTCGCCCTCGTCCCCCACCTGCTGTTGCAGCCACATGCTGGCATACACACCGCCCTTCTGCAGCAGTTCCTCGTGCCTGTGGGGGCAGAGGGGGCTGTGGGCTGCCCTGGAGGACCCCATGGACGGGCAGCACCAAGCCTCTGTACTCACCTCCCACGTTCAGCAATGCGCCCATCCTTGAGCACCAGGATCTGGTCTGCACCCACAATGGTGGAGAGTCTGCATGCAAAAAGGTGTTTGCACAGCGTGAGGAGTGTGCTGGGTGCAAGGAGAATCCCTGCAGATAGCAGCCAGCTCTTGACACTGCCCCAAGGACACTGCATCAGAGGATGCTGCAGAATGGCTGTAGGGCTTGCCCCTCTCTTGCCAACCCTTGCAGGAGGGTTGTGGGAGCTGGACCAGCCCTATCCATCCCTACCTGTGTGCCACAACGATGCTGGTGCGCTGGGCGCAGACCTTGGCAAGGGAGGCCTGGATGTTCCTCTCAGTCTCTGTGTCCAGCGCAGAGGTGGCCTGCGAGAGAAGGACATGGGTAGGGGGCAGCTGTGGGAGGGGGATGCTGCTGGGGGGGGGGTTAATGCCATTACCTCGTCCAGAAGGATGATGCGGGGGCCCTTCAGGATGGTGCGGGCAATGGCCACACGCTGCTTCTCCCCCCCACTCAGCTTCAGCCCCCGCTCCCCTACCTGGGTGCTGTACCCTGCGGGCACAAGGACAGGCACACGCTGTGCCGGTCTCATCCAGGACAAGGATGGGAACCGGGGCTGCGCTGCATGGGGCTGCCCCTGCCCAGGGGCTCATTCTACCCTGAAGATGGCAAGGGCAATGGGGTTGCACAGGTGTCCCCAGGCGGGATGTCACCTCGTGGCCCCCAGTGGGCTGCCATGGAGCCAGGAAGGAGCTGCAGGGTCTCACCATCAGGGAAGGAAAGAATGCGGTCGTGGATGTCGGCAGCCCGCGCCGCCTCCTGCACCTCCTCATCGGTGGCCTGCACCCGCCCATAGCGAATGTTGTTGGCGATGGTGTCGTTGAAGAGCACGGTGTCCTGGGGCACCACCCCGATGTGGGCACGCAGTGACGCCTGCTTCACCTGGGGAGGAGTCCAGGGGGGTGAGAGTCAGCCATCCCCCAGCCCTCCTGACCCTCCCAGCCCCACAGTGCCCATACCTGGGAGATGTCCTGCCTGTCGATGCGGATGCAGCCACCCCGCACGTCGTAGAAGCGGAAGAGCAGGCGGATAATGGTGCTCTTCCCCGAGCCTGAAGGCCCAACCTGCACCAGAGGTAAAAGGATTTGTTTGGAGACACCAGAGCGCCCCTGGCTGCTGGGCAAGGAGAAACTGCACTGGACGAAGATTGTCACAGCCCATCTTTGCCAGCCCCTCTGCCCTCATTCTATCCCACAGCTCTCACCAGGGCCAGCGTCTGCCCAGGCATCACAGAGAAGGAGATGTCCTGCAGGATTTCCTTCCTAGGGAGTGAGATGGAGATGGAGATGATGGAGATGGAGAAGGGTTTGGGGCCACTTCCCCTGCCCCACATCCTGGTATCAAGCCCCAAAGCCAGGCCCTTCCCTTCCTGCCATCCCATACCCATCGATGTAGCTGAAGTGCACATTCTCAAACTCGATGTGCCCAGCCTCCAGGTGCAATTCCCTGGCATTCACTGCATCCTTCACCTTATGGATGGAGATGTGGCCTCAGTGCCAGGGCAGAGGCATAGGGCTATGCCAGGCAGTGGGCTCAGGAGGGGGGTACCACCTCTTGCTCCTCGTGGAAGAGCTCAAACATGTTCTCCATGTCCACAAAGGAGTTCTGGATCATCCTGGAGGGGGACAAAGACCAGAGGGAAGGGTTTGGGGAGCACACCGTGCCCCACATGCACAGGGCACCCCACAGCCCCATGTTACCTGTAATAAGTGCCAAACCAGTTGAGCGGTGTGTAGAGCTGGATGATGTAGGTGCCAAAAAGGACAAAATCTCCCACCTAGAAGGGCCAGGGGAACATGTGCCCATCACATGCAGCACCGAGGCTGTCCCCAGGCAGGGGCTGCCCAGCTGGCACGGCCTTACCTGCAGCTTCCCCTCAGTGACAAAGAAGGCACAGAGCAGGGACCCTGCCAGAAGCCCCAGCCCGATGACCAGGTTCTGGGTCTGGTTGAGGAGACCCAGCGAGGCACTGACCTTCCACTCTGAAAGCTGGGAGGGGAGAGGTCCTCTGTGACACCTCCATCCCCATCCACTCCATAGGTGCCTACCAGGCTCCTTCCCCCAGGATGGGTGCTGAGTCCCCATACCTGGTACTTGACAATGGCGTCATTGAAGCGGTTCACCTCGTAGCTCTCCGCATTGTAGTACTTCACCTATGGGACACGGAGCCAGGTTCAGCATCCACCTTGCTCCCACAGCACCCAGCCCTCCCCCTCCATCATTACTGTCTCGAAGTTGAGCAGCGAGTCCACAGCGCGGGACTTGGCCTCGTTGTCCCGCGTGTTCATGTCCCGCCGGTACTTGGTCCTCCACTCAGTGATGAAGATGGTGAGAGCTGAGAAGGAGCAGTGTGTCAGTGGATGCCGGCAGCCCTGCAGGGCCCGGCACCCCAAGGACCCCACTCACTCAGGTAGAGGCTCATGCACACAAAGATGATGAGTCCAAACCACGCGCTGAACACGGAGGTGAAGTACACGATGCCGATGATGATGTCCGCGATGGTGGGGACGATGCTGAAGACGATGTAGCTGGAAGGAAGGACGGGGATGTGGCATTAGGTCAACCCACCGGGGTGAGCACGGTGACCCTCTGCAGACGTGCCCTGACCTGAGCAGGCTGTTGATGCTGCTGGTGCCCCGATCCACGCTGCGCAGCACCTCACCAGTGCGGCGGCCCAGGTGCCAGCGCAGGGACAGGCCGTGCAGGTGGGCGAAGAGCTGCACCTGTACCTGCCGGTTGGTGAACTGCTGCACCCACACCCACAGGAAGGTGCGCAGGTTGCTGATGAAGCCTGTGGAGCCTGCGGGGTGCCACAGGA